ATGTCTAAAATCCTCAACTATGCCGGTCGCATTTTTCTAAGTAATTGTATGAAATACCAGGGGAAATAACTTAGGGTAGGATAGTTCGTTGTTCTGCTTACTAATCATGAAACTTTTTTCAATCTATTCTCGATGTATATTCATAAATGTAATTCCTAAATTAATATAAAATCCAATGAATTTTATATGAGATGTGTGTAATTAACTTTTTCTTTTATTGCAATTATAAAAAAATATCGTTAAATATTTATGAAAGAAAATAGGAGAACAATCGATTGAAAATTTGACTGGACAGTGAACGTTTTAATAAACGTCAATAACAGTATAGGTAAAATATAATTAATTATAATAAAATATTTGTGAAAAGCGTGAAATAAAAAGTCATGCTTCTGATAAAAGAACAATGAATATTATTACGAGAAAATTCGATATTAATTCTCGATACATTTATACGAATTTAACGTGTTCAAACTTAACATTAAATAAATATTAAGTATACGTATAATATACATAAAAAAGATATTCATTTCTAACGAGAATTGTAAACAATTTTTCTACTTTCTTTTCTATTTCTATTTCTTTCTATCGAAAAATAAAAGAAGAAGAGCAAGAGAGAGAGAGAGAGAGAGACGGTAGAAGTTGGAAGCTAAATAAAAAATTATGCTTCCAATAAAAAAAAAAGCAAAGAATAATTACCAAACACGATCAATAATATTTAACGTGTTAAAAGTAAGCAGTAAAATAAACATCGAATGATTGCCATTTTAGATAAGAAATGGAAGAAAAAAAAAGAACCAAGTGCCTTTCTTTTCCGCCATGTGTTTCTTTTTTTCTTTTTGTAAAGAAGAGAGAAAGAGAAAGAGAAAGAGAGAGAGATAGAGAACGGAGAAACGTTTTCAATATTTTCTAGGAGAGACGATTGAAGTCGGAAGAGCAAGTAAGGGACGTAAAAAGGGGCATGCCGGACTTTGGAGTCCGGTTGCGGCTTATCTTGCCCGTATGGGCGGAGGCAGAACCACGATCCTTTACCCCCACTTTTCTTCACAGGTACCACCCCTCCGGTCTCCGGTTGTAGCCACGTTACTCGCCTTGGGATATCCCCCGGGCCGAGCTTCCAACGCACGTGCTCGCGCATGCGCACCAACTAGCCTGCCTCTTCTCAGTCTCATCCTCCAAACCATCACACACACATATATATATTATTATATATATATATATATATATATTTCGTATATATAGTATACCGTCATAGTATTATATTATATTATATCCTACCTATACATGTTTTCTATGTACAGATACACACACGTATTTCTATGTATACACATCCTGCCTTTTCATAAAGGGATAGAAGAGTGGGAAGCGAAAGCAGACGATTCGAGGGAGAGAGAAATTCTGCTTGAAGATATGGGGAACGTCGAGTTTTCGACGATATCAACACCATGACTAACTTGATTTTTCTTATATCTTATGGTTTCTTTTCTTCTATGTGCTTTCTTTTTTTTTTTTCAATTATAATTATTTATAAGAAATGGTAGTAATTGATGTATTATTTTTAAATCGTTCGCGTTTATTGCGATAGCAAATGTTAGTAATATAAAAATTTATCTGTGTGTGTGGTGTACGCGTAAAGTGAAATATTTTTAATATCCGTACTTTATTTGTTTAAGAGATTTTTATCTTTCTTCACAAAAATTACTGATTAATGTTGTTAACGAATTGACACGTGTATTATGTAACATTGACAGTGATTGATTTTGGTTAGTTAAAAATTGTGGTGATTAAGGAAAAAGGAAAATGTACATCGATGGAATGTAATCAACCATGTCACTGACTATTGTCATATTCTTCATCGTGATTTTTTTTTTTTGAAATTCTAAGAATAAACTATTATTTGTTAAGTTCCCTTGAAAGTTATCATTATATTACATAGTTATGATGTTTGATTTTTATTGACAACTATGGCAATTATGTTGCTATTAAATTCTCCTCGCTAGAAACAGGATTAGCACAATGGACGAATGAGAAAAATATTCATCGATGGAATCCAATAAATCATTTTCATTATTATGATTGCAAGTCTTGAAAATGACGTGTTGTAAGTATAACTTAACGTAGATTTTGTGTTGAAACGATCATTATGTGTGTTTTATTTTTTTTACTTATATTCATATATAATCGTTGAGTTATCATGTTGCACCGTATTTACGATAATATCGCAAATAAGTGCACATATTTAAGCATAAATTTTGACCAATGGGAAAAAATCCTTATAACTTTTGTATAATCTATTGATTTTACCTTTTACAATTCGTGCTGTTCCAGGTAATTAAGAAGTGTGAAGACTTTTATCCTATCTTTGATCCAGAAGTTCAGCCTAATGAGATTTTTCAAATTCATTTAACTTGCTAATTTTTAAAATAAATGGAAAGTGAAGTCTGGTCCACCTTCTTCCGTAAGAAGTATATTTACAATAACTGTGGTATAGTACAGGACTTTTCAAACTTTTTTATATTTGGTAATCCCCTTTATCAGAGAAAATATTTTCATACTATCTTCTCTTCCACAATACTTTACGTATAGTATTGCCAAATTGTTCTGTAATTAATTTTCTGCGGTTACATATTTGAGAAATTGTAAATTTTACTCTAATTTTTGTGATACTTAAATTTAGTTAGGCGAATCAATATGGGGTCGCGACTAACACTTTGAGAAGCTCTGATTTTTCTACGATAAAAAAGATAACTGTTATTGTCCAATTAATCTTTTCTTTCTTTCTTTTTTTTTTTCTTCTTTTTCCAGGTCTGTCGAAAACACGGGATTATATTGTAAATTACGAAACATTTATTTATTTATTTATTTCACGATCGTAATATATTGACTTATTTATCAATATAAACATAAGCATTGGATGTGTGCCCGATTAAATTCTTATCGTACAAGATATATACATCATATAATAATAAGTATAGTGTCACACTTATTAGAACATTTCTTACACTTTAGCGCTTATCAATAATTACACTAAATGTCTCATATCATATACGTATAAATATATACATATATATATATGTGTATATATTTATATGTATTATGTAATTTTTTTCATTATTTAGAATGAACATTTTTTAATACATGTATATATGATCTACTTTGTTTATCGACTATTTATTAATTAGTATCATTTTGGTATATCGTCACAGCAACTCTGTGCATAAATCGTTTGATTACTACTCATATAATAATAATAATAATAATAATAAAATATAATAAAATAATCAAATAATAATTATTATTATTTATAATATACTAAAATAATAATTATAATAATAATAATAATAATAATAATAATACAATTATTTTTATTTTTCGGTTTTCGTCGAACATACAATCACGTCCTAATTGTTATTGGTCGATCCCTCGTGTCATTTCAATAAAAATAGACAATATACTATCTATTATATATTCGAATTAGTATTTACAACTGATTAGTTAATTCTACATAACGAGAGATGATCCATGAATTTTGATTGGGAGCGAGGGGGGTTGGGGCGGGAGCGTATATTATTTCCTTGTTATTTCGTTCCTTTATTTTTTTTCTATTGAAAGTTTAATTAATTATAAGGACAAAGAGCTTGTTCGAAATATAATACACGTAACTATCATCAGAAAATAATAACTCGGTAGAACGTTTGAAATTCGTACGATTTTGAATCGATACGGTATATCGCTTTTAAAGGTTTGAGTATTCATGGAACTCGCGATCAGTACGGTTTTCAAGGTTTTTTTATTAACAACGCGAGAAAAACGATGATGTATTCATCGATCGAATCTAAGCTCAAGAATTGAGTCATGTTTTCAAATAAGTAAAAATTTAAAAACGTATTGTAGTTAAATATACAAGATTTATCTACTAAATAAGTTAAATTATAATTTTGTTTTGACATTTTGTATTTTTTAATAAGTTTTATGAAATAGGAGGTACGTATCATCGGCACGATTCAACATTTGAACCGATGAACTCTTTCCAAAAACTTATTAAACAATGCTAAATTGTCTTCTACGATGTTAGTATATATCTGTAAAAGAAACAAACAAAATTATTATTTTATTAGATAAACTCTGTGTATATTAATTACTGAACGTTTTTGCTGCTTTGTCCTAATCCTAACATTTCTTTTATTTAATTATTTTCTTATATATATATATCTATTCGTTTTTTTTATTTTTATTTGATTTCAAATGACCCACTTTAATGAACATAGATTCGCGTAACTTCGTATCGGAAGCCATACTTCTCGTTATGTTTGTGAAGATTAGAACCGGTTAGTTATTATCTAATTCTAGTTAAAGCAAACGTCCCTATAATAATAATAACAATCAATTAGTAATTTTTCATTTTCTTATTCATTTGACGACGTTTAACTCGTTACGCTAAAATCATACAATTATACAATAATTAATAATTAATCATAATAATCAGAATATATGGAACATAGATCATTTGCTTCGAATACTCGATATTACAATTATTCTTTACAAGAATATGTACAATTATGTCGTCTAGATTTATATACATTTACATAAGTAATGTCGCATTTTTTTGCGATGCATGGAAATAATTAAAACGTGTATCTAATTCAGATACCACTGAATCAGGCAACAAAGAAGCTTATTTTTAAGTAGTAGTTGACTACAAGCACGATGGCACGTTCAAGGGAAACAATAAATTGAATAATGAACAGTTTATTTCAAAATATCATTTTTCCGATATTTCACACGTCATTTATCAATTTCATTGAAAAGTAAATTTCGGAAACAAAAGTCCTAAAAAATATTTTTATTCTTAAGAAAATTACATTCGATTGAATGTATATATGAATAAACATCACACACTAAATCCACACTAATTATCCAGAGCTAAAAATTGTTGATATTTTGAAAAACAACAAAATAATGATCAGATTAATAAATAATACTAACTCTATTTTAGGTTACTGATTTGTTCAGTTTTTTTTATATGAACCTTGAGATTTCTGCTGTAAAAAATCAGAAGAGAGGATAAGAAAAATGATTGAAACGAAATAAGAGACAATGTAATTTGGAGAAACTAAAAGAATTGTCAGCAAATATCGAAATGAGTAATCGAGTTCAGGTTCCTCCAACTGCGAGATCGTAGTCGAAAACACCAATAGAGTAAATTCGATGATCGTGATATTGTTCGGTAAGCGGGTGTTACAGAGCAGTCAGTCCATAATCTGATTTTATCGGTGGCGGTGGGACAACAGAGGACGATACTTGAGAAAGTCCAGGAGGACTGGTGGCTGGTTCAAGTGGACTGATGCTTCCGGAAGACATATGTCCCATTGGTCCAGCAGTAGGGCCGATTGTAGGACCGATCGTAGGACCGATCGTAGGACCGATCGTAGGACCGATCGTAGAGCCGATCGTTGGTCCGATCGTTGTTGGACCGTCCATCATTCCAGCCGCCACGTGATGGTGACTCAGCTGTGCTTGAAGGTGGGCGAGAGGATGAGGGTGACCTTGAAAGCTCGGATGTACCACGTTCGGATGAGGAAGAGACGAGTTGACACCGTGAACGTCACCCATATCGAGGCCAACTCCACTATCCAAATTGTTTCCATCTAAACCACTGGATGGTGAATTGTTGTTGTTCTTTCTCTGTCCATTATTGTTATTTCCATTGGCTGATGCAGCAGCAACAGAGACACTTTTCGTTCTGTTGCTGCTTCCCTTAGTTGATTTTGTTGTTGTCGCTGTTGCTGCTACCTGACCATTTGCGTTCTTTCTACGAACGTTCTTCGTATTCGGTAGCTTGTTGTCCTTCTTCCATTTCATTCTTCGATTCTGAAACCAAATTTTGATCTGTCTCTCGGACAGTACCAATGTATGTGCTATCTCGATCCGCCGCCTTCTCGTGAGGTAACGGTTGTAATGGAATTCCTTTTCGAGCTCCAAAATCTGGTGTCGTGTGTAAGCGGTCCTTTGCCTCTTTGGTTCCATTCCAGGTTGATAAGAACCATTCGCTGAAAGAAACAAATCAACGCATGGTTAATATGCTTATTTGGTTTTTTTTTATTTTCTTCACTTTTATTCACCGATAATCTTCAAAATAGTTGAACGAATAATAATTCATCTTGATATATATTTAAATAAATTATTTCTATTGTAAAATGTCCTTGAATAATTAAAATTAATTAATTATAATAGTTTAATTATACTATTATATGTAATTCGATTAGATTTGTTTAATTGTTAGACGTTTAAACCGGACAATTTTGGTTTTAAATTCAAAGAAATGTTATTATGTACTTTATTTCAATTCTCCCAAATACTTTTAATAAGTTCTTCGATATCTTGAAGACCGACCGTTGTAAGTAGTTACGTCATTGGATATTGTATCAATTAACATCGTTAGTGCAGTAACGACGACGGCACCATTCGAATGTTGACCATGGTACTCAAATATTAAAGACTTAAGATACTTATAAAAACAAATGAATTTCAATTATTTGATGTTAGAATTATCTCAAGCAACACCCTCATCGTAATTCGAACCTTAGAAAAACTATCGACAATTAAAAAAAAGTAGCAGATCTACCAGCAAAAACAAAAAGTAATTGAACTAGTAAGTATGATTTATTACTTAAGATTATAGTTCCCAAACTTTTTCTTCCATCTTGATAAATCTCGAATTTCCATAATTTAAAGAAAAAAAAAAATCAATTTAATGCATATCGCAAAAGAGTAATCACATATATCGTTAAATAATATATTATGCAGGTGATTATAAAAGAAAAAAAAAACATGTAATAATGAACTCGTATCTCAAACGTTTTTGCATTTATAAATCATTGAGATTTCTAAGTATATAATTAAAACAACGAAACGGAAAAGAGAGAAATTCTTATGACTTGATTTGTGTACATAATATTCGAATATTCTTTTTCGTAAATTTTAACTAGAACCAAAAAAAAATATATAAAAATTTTAACAGTTCTAAATTTTCATTCATGTTTCGCGTATACGATATATGTCATTAAATGATCCCACTGATGAAATTCGTCGCGAGAAACGGACTTCAAAGGAATAACGTTACCTTCCGATCGAACAAAGAGTTTTATGTAGAAAGAGAAATAAAGAAAGAGAAAGAGAGGGAGAGATGAGATCAAGGAACAACGTAGTCATACGAGTATTATTCGCATTCATTCGCGTATGACACCGTGCTATTAATGGAAACGACTCTGCTGTTATCCGAAGAACAAGAAACATGCATATAAGTAGTACCTATATACATATATCTATCCATATACATGTATTTAAGTACTTACTTACGCATAGACGATGGATAAACTAACGTTGCTAGATGCGTATAGCGTTGCTTGAGTGAAAAGGACGAGCCTCGCATAATAAGCAGAAAATTGTGTAACGCGAATCTCGAACGGAGTCTCCGTTTCTTTACGTAGCTTCCGGAGCTCTATTGGTCTCTCTTTCACAAGAGTAAGAAAAAAAAGAAAGAGAGAGAAAGAGAGAGAGAGAGAGAGTATTGCTGAGAAATGGAGAGACGTCTACCGATACTTCGTTAGTGTCTAGAATTCATTATCTTGGTATGATATTTTGTAAGTAAAGATAAAGGTAACGATATTTATCGTTTTGAAATTATATTTTGAAAAATTATATACTTAAGTCTCCTAGATTATCTATTTTCTGTGGTATATAATATATTAAGCATAATTTTATATATAAATATATTCACAAATAGATAGATTTATACTTGGTATGTATTTTGTACGAGATTATTAGGATTTTGTTCAAATGTTATTGTAATAAACGAATATTCAAGTTTTATTATTTAAATATTGAAAAAAAAGTAGTGTTTAGTCAGTTATACTGAACCTTTTGATTCGATCATAAACAATAAGGATACCAATAATAATAATAATAATAATAATACAAATTTGTTCTAACACATATGTAATGAATATATTTAGCACGGATCAATGAAAAAAAAGGAATATTCGATTTAAAATAATAACAATTCTTGTCAGTTAATAAGAAGAAAAATTTTCTATCTTCCTTCGGGAAAACATTATTTGTTTCCTAATAATGCTATTTTACTCTAGAGTCTGATTAATTTAAATATTTAAGATATCATAAGACAAACTAGATTATTTGGAACACATCATATATCATTTGAAACATGCATATGTATATATACAGCTACGAGAAGATAAATAAAGACGCGAGTTTATGCAAAATGTAAAAAAAAAAAAGAAAATATGAAAAACAAAGACAACAATATAGACGAACAAGTTTTTAAACGTACGATTGTTGATTATCGATACGAGAAGAAATATTTCGCCAATATCGTGTACAAGAACTCAAACGGGTTCCCTTCTAGGAAATGTTTGTTGGTGGTCCGATCCGATATAGAAAACAAGGGAATGAGTTTGGTTTAGAATCTGTGCACGGACACATTCCATTCCGAGACTGACCGTTGCTCTCTTCTCTTCTCATTTCTCATTTTCTCTCTCATACTCTCTTTCTCATGGTCCCTCGAAACTTCAACCTCCGGTGAACAGTGTTCGACGTTCGAAGGAAAGAGATTGCTCTCCTGTCCGTTCCGACGGACAACGTAAACACATACTTCAAGTATGAAGGTACTTGAACGTCTATACAGAAATATTAAAGAAAATTTCAATAAATTTCTAAGATCTATAAATTATAAGAATATATATTGATTTATACAAAGATACTATATCACATTTTTTTCTATTCTAGTAGAAAATCAATCATTTTTATGTGATTCGATATTTTTCTCCTAATAATTTGATTTATCTTATAAATTTTATTATTTAAGATGACTGTGTATTTAGTTATTTCAATATTATTATTTATATTTAGATATCTAGATAATGAATTTTTAGTATCTTCGGTCAAGCGTGCATGTGCTGATTGGAGTGACGAATGTGTATGTATATTGCTTATTCGAGCATATCGAAATAAGTGTTTTTGTAATATAGAAATTAATTGAACAAACACATATTTTCTTTTTTATTTTATTCTTTATAACGATTTTTTTTTAAATCAAAGAATCAGCGCCATCACCGATTAGGAGACCAATTGTGCCAGTTATTGTCTAAATAACTTTGTTAAACGATTTTATATAAGACCAAATCTCAATCGAATTTAATTCTATCAATATTTCTGATTAATCGATATGCTTCTATTGGTAACTATAGAAATGTAAACCGATAAACAACATGGATACCGTATAAAAATTAAAACATACACCCTTCGAAAAAATGTAACTAATTAAATTTCTAAATGAATTTCTACAACACGGTGCATGCGTATCTCGATCGATTTTTTTAAAGTCAACGAGCTAACTATTTCGATTTTCTCGTGGCGTTTCTTTATACTAATGCACGAAAGCCTGTCGTTCGTGTTACCAGCAAGCACCACGTTCAGTCAGAAGAAACTCAAAGGGAAATAGTTGCAAGTTGGAATGAGCAGCGGTTTTATACGGTCAAAGGGAATAGAAATTTGAGCCTGGTAAGGCACCCTAGTAGCAGCAAAAAATATTACGTTGCAAAAATTCATCTCCACTCTCTTTCTCTCTCTCTCTCTCTCTCTCTCTCTCTTTCTTTCTTTACCTTTCTATGTGTAAGTTCGTTCTTTTTCGTAAGCCGAAGAAAACGCCTTTAGAATATAACAGAACAACGTGACGCGAAAGTTTTTCTCTTTCTATGACTTCTGAATATTTTTCTGTAAAGAGTAACACATAGCGACAAATGCAATCGAAAAGTTTTAACAATTGTAGAAATATTATTTCATTTAATATAAAACAATTATTGGTAAGTATAGAGACCAAAAAACGGGATGACACAAAGTTGCATAATTAATAATTGAATTCTTAAAAACTTACGTACATCGTTTATGGCGTTAACTAAACTTTTCCACTTTAAAATCTGTATGGAATATATTAAGCTTATTACAATTACTATGATTATTTAATATTTTTCATTTAACGATAAATATATCGATATTTTGTGTATATCTATACCTCCCGTGAGCAGTTAAATGACCGCTTAAAGAAAACATATTTTAATATAGAATAAGATTTTAGTCAATTCATTAGAGTGAACAAAAAGAATTTCTTTTATTTAGAAATGAATAATGTTAATTAAATAATGTAAAGTAAATTATACGTTTTCAATGCATTTTTTACAAATTACAGGATTTTTAAAAATCACCATATTTTTATAAATTAAAGGACGCGATCATTTGACCGTATATAATAGGTTTAATGTTAATGCATATAAGTAGTATACTCAACTAATTTTTTATTGTAAGATAATATTTACCGTTTTTCTCTCCTGCATTTTTAAATTAGTAAATTTTTTATACTTAACTATTTAATATTTTACATTAGATAATATACATAATAAAAATTCGAAAAAAAATTGTTATAATTTAATTTGTTTTCTCTCGTTAACTTTAAATTTACGTTTTATTTATCGAAATAAATTCTTGATAGAAGAAAAATAGATTTCTTTAGTGACTTCTCGATTCTACGATTCTTAAGTTGACGTTAGATAGGATATGAGATATATGAGGGCATTAGGCGTAACAAAAACTGTTTCCAAACCGCCTCATCCCCAAACAGGTAGCTCATTTATCCTAAAGTGTACGATAAATTTGTTCCCATAAGTCTTCTAGTGTTTGCTAGAAAAATCGCTGTACGAGTATAATGCTAGGGATACTTCTACATGTAAGGTGTATAGTTTACACACCAGACTAGAATCTCCCAAGACCAACAATACACACCAACAATAGAGTCTCCCTTAGCGATTTATCTAATTTGTAAAATGTTTCGATGAACAGGTCCAATAAAGACTAGCTTACTACCTTCTACCTGTAAATCTTTTCAATCATCTCGTTTTCAATTTTTTACGATCTAAATACGAAACAAATCTGTTTTCTTTCAGAATAAAAAATGTGCTTTGAGAAATAGAAAATTATTCATTCATTAACGAAAAACTATTTTATGACATTTGAACTATTATTTAACAACCGTCAAATAATTTTCTTGATGATGGTTGTATTATTAAGAGAAACAGAAAATTATGAAGATAATTATGATTCTGAAATAAAAGAAAATTATTATTTTACGTAGAACAAAAGAGATAAATCGAAAGCATGAAATTGTTAAATTGTTTATCTGAGTTCTGTAGTATCCGACGGAATACCATAAAGATGTTTGTTACTTTTTACCAAATATATCTACTATACAGCAACAAACATTTAAAAACGTATAGATGTAATTCCTAATTATTTAAATAGTATTTCCCCCGAAAGCAATAAATTTAAAATGGAAACATTAAATATCGAATGGAGTTTAATTGATATTGTATTATAGAACGTTGAACTTACCAACACCAGCAACGTGAATTTTTTTCATCCATGGATAAATGACACGGTCTCCATTTTCCTCGTCATCTTCTTCTTCCTCCATCATACCAGGTGAGCCGTCCATCATCTGATCGTCCTCAATATCATCTTGATCGGATCCATCGTCCACGTGATGCTGCTGTTGATGTTGCGACTGTTGTTGTTGTGCATTTTGTATATGCTGATTTTGTTGATTCGATTGTTGCTGAAGATCTGGTGAGTTGTCTCGATGCAACGACCCGGAACCTGCTGGACTGCAGACGCTACCATCGTGAGGTTGTTGCTGATTTTGTTGTTGATGTTGATGTTGCTGCATAGCTTCTTGCTGTTGCACATGATTTTGCATAATGGACGGCGATAAGGGAGTGGATCCAAGAACGGTCGACGCAGTGACCGGTGGCTGTTGTTGCTGTTGTGGTGCTTGCATCGAAGATGGACACGTGTGAGGTGGTTGCTGTGCTTCCGGTGGCATCGCGAGTGCACCAACAGCGTGATGATGAGGATGCAAACTTGCATGGTGAACAGCATGAACCTGGTGATGCGGATGATGAGGCCCATAATATCCTCCGTATCCGGCATATCCACCGTTCAGTTGTACAGCCGACGATGCTCCATACGGCGTTGTAGCAGCCTGATGATGATGTTGGTGATAGCCATATTGGAGCTGGTGGGACTGGGGATGATTGAGATGGTGGCTTGCGGTACTACTGGAGAAGAAATCTGCACCGGTAGATTGTATGTAGTTACTTTGACTATATTCCTCGCTTGGTGGAAACTTCGGGTCGACCATAACTGAACTAGCAGCAAGATGATGACTAGCCGCCGGCTGTTGGTGCTGATGGTGGTGGTGATAGCCACCGCCGGCGGATGGATTCATCAAGAAGGAGCTCATTTTATCTTCTTCTCAATTTCTTTTACTTACTCTTCCCCTTGTTCTACCCTTCTCTTTTCTTCTTAAATGACTTTTGCTTCCTTTATCAGGATTCACAGCAAACGTCAGAGTTCCTTACACTGAACGTCCGAACGATAGCGTCATTATGTTCCCTCACCGTAACACGATATCTATTTTACGAAGAAATTTGCATTCCCGTGTACATATTCACAGAGTAAATTAGTCCTGTCTGCTCGAACACTTAATAGTTACGTATAGAAGGTTTCATTCAAACGTGAAGCACATTTTCACGACTGCACATTGACCACTGCACCGCGATACATTCTCCGTACTTGCCTACCTTGTCCTTTGGAACGTAAAAGAGAAAGAAAAAAAATAGGACAGAAGAGGAAAGAAAGAGATAAGTAAATACAGAGAAAGATATGTAGAAAGAGATATTAGAAGCCTACGTCTTTTTCCACAGCTGGGAAAAAGTGAAGGGAAGGAAAAGGGGTTTCGAAGAATAAATAAGAAGGGAAAAAAGAATATAGAAAAAGAAAAAGAGAAAAAGAGAAAAAGAGATAGAGGTAGACAAGAAAAAGGCGAAAAGAACAAGGCCGCGAAGAGTTGCACCGGACTCCCGATGGACAGCGGCTTATCCTCTCCTCTCCTACCGCCACTTTTGAGATCCACCGCGAAGCGGCTCCACCGCGGCCCCCTTTTGCTCCTTCCCGCCCACCGGGCTCAATTACCATACCACGTGAGCTTGGTTCAACCAATCAGAGCGAGTTCGCGTCCGCGACCATGATGGATAGCCCGGCACGCATGCAACACGTGAGTGGCGCCGCCAGAGACCGACTGCGGCAGGTGCTACAACTTCTTCCTTCTCTTTCCTCTTCCACCGAAAAGACTTTTCTTTTCTTTATCGTTTTATTCTTTTCAGTTTCTTCCGTTAATCCTTTTTTGTCGATCAGAGAAACTTCAATGAATGGACGTAGAAAATATTTGTAGAATCGTTACAACTATTAACTCGTAGATATTCTTGATCACTCGATTTACTTTTCGCACAGTTAAACAGGACGTGAGTATAAAAATAAACGTTCTTGCGTAACCACGATTGCAACGTTCACCACCAACAACGCTAAAACCTTACACAGTTAGCTTGATGTAAATCCACGAAACGTTTCAACCTTGTTTGAGCTACGTCTGAGTGCTTGTCCTTTCGACATACAAGTACAACGACGTGTTCGCTGTGCTCGTGTCTCCTCGTCGGACCTCGGTAGAAACTCGTCTGGCAAGTTCGCTTCGGCTCACAGTGCTCCCTCCAGTTCCTCTTCGGCCGGCTGACTACGAGCTAAAGCGTCCCTCACTCTTCCAACCGCAGCTCTAACCACCCCTACCTATACCACAACCGTCAACCCCCACTCTGTTGAAGCACGAGACCAACCCCTGCCACGGAAGCCGTAGATCTTGTGCCCTTATGGGACACACTCCGGCCTAACTACCACGGGAGTCACTCCTACGGATCATCTTAACCCGCCTTCGCTCGTACGCTTCGTTCTTCAAATCCTCAAGCTCGTCGTATTTGTGAAAACTTTCAAGATGTTTTACTTTTTATTTAATGCCATCGATACTACACTCATTATTTTTAGATCCATTGTAATTCTTTTCTTTCGTTAGATGTTGTTGTTGTTGTTGATGTTCAAATCTCAAGTATTAATATTTCTTCAATACCTATTTCTACTTTCGTATTTATATTAATATCATATCTATACATATATTTATACTTTTCTCAAGAATTTTCTTTTTATAACAAATTTTCCTATACATGTCTTTTAAAAAATGAGATACATACCATCATGTTAGAATAGGAAAATAACATCTGTACGGTAATTTTAAGTTGGGTGTTCAAATTCCGTTTAATCGTAGGTACTTCCTATTGGCGCTTTCGATATAATCGATAGTTGGAGATGGGAGGGGGGCACGATGTTCGCGTATTCGGCAATATTTATTGCATAAGGCGGCTGACGTCAGGCAAATTGAAAGTAATGGATCCTCCAGTCGGTCGTACTTTGTTTATATTAGTGCTCTACAAGTGTCCCGACGCACTCGGTCAAGTACGTCTACTTGTGATCAGCTGCGAAGTGTGAAGGATATAAAGTGCCAAGTCATTACACAAAGAGCACACTCACTGTGTTTTGCCGAGACACGACAATGCAGCGTGCCGTAGTTGCTGCTGCCGCCGGCGTTCAGGGTCTCTCTCTTTCTCTCTCTCTTACACAGTTAGGTAGAATCCTTACAGGATGTAAGTAAACGGTACTGCGCGTTGCACGCGTTTTCCTCGCTTCTTGTATTTTTCTTTATCTTATCAGCTAACTGTAATTCATTACATTGCTGAACGAGGTCAAAATCTATCATTACTTATTATATTTTTACTTTTGCGCATGTTTCGATCGGAATATAAGAAAGATACCAAAAAAAAAACAATCTACATATATATACAGTTAGTAATTTTATCAATGAATTCACTTATTTCGATGAATCGAAAAAAGACGGGCTTTTTTTTCTATCGATCCGTCGGTAGGACGAGATAACAAGGGCAAGCAACGTTTTGTCATTTCCCAAGGACAATAAAAGAAAAAGTAGGAAGAAAAGTATAAGAAGAAAGAAACGAGTGGCAATTCAAGAGGGCTAAGAGAAAGCGAGAGAGGGTGGGAGGGAGAGAGAACGCGTCACCTGCTTTTTCTACTGGCTCTTCTCACGACTGGGTTTTTTTCCTTAGTTTCGGCGTATACGTTTCTCGGCGTATTTCTATTTTTCTTATGGCTACTTCATGTAGCTCCCTCGAGAAGAGAAACCAAGGGGATGACGGTTCGAGTGGAATCTGCGAGAGGAGCTCTTCTTCGGGGCTACGTCCGTCGACGTAGTCGATGCGAGGAAGTTAGAGGGGGTGCTGCTTTCGAGGGGTAACTCGAGAGGAAGGGTGGGATTGGACGTTGTCTCCTCGTTTTGCGGCTCGACCTCTTCGTCTCTATCACCGTCGACGTTCACGAGCTTCCATCCTCCTCCTTTTCCTCGTCACCACCACCCACCCAACTATCTCCTCCGTTACCATCACCATCGTCCACCATCCCCCCCCCATCCCTTCGTGTCTCTGTCTTTCTTCCTTTATTTCTTTCGCTTACTCCAGCGTCTCTCTCCGCAACGATCCTTCTCCTCTTCTCTTCCGGCGAAACACAATCAATCACTTTTCCCGGTCCGCCGGCATGACACCCCCTTTTACACCCACAACCCACCCTTGGAAGCGCGAGAGCTTAGTCGTCACGACGTCTGCCTCCCTTTCTATCCACCTCCCACTCAAACTCCCACTCATTCTCCTCCTACTCCTACTGCTATTTCTTCTCATCCTATTTCTCCTTACTACCAAACGAATGTGATCTTCGGGATGACGATTATTGTGGGATCACCCACGAGAGCCTATCGACTTCTTACGAGTGTACACAACTATGTCGCCAAGGGAAAATTTCGAGCTTTCATATTATTGTCTGAAATATAAGATAATAAAGTTAAATATCATTTCGTAGATATTTCTCGATACATGGAATTTTTTTTATCCTCTTCATGCTAGAATTAAATGGAGAGTTAAAAGATAATAAAAGAATAAAACAGTAATAGAGAAAAATGTGGATTCCATACGTATGTGCGATTAATGAAAAATATTTTAGGATGATAAACTCCGAAACGCCCATACATAATCCTCGTCAAAATCCACTAGAAATTTGATAGAAAAAAAAAGGGTTAAAAAGTCAAAGCCTACGGCAATGGTCCGTATCGTGATAATGATAAATGGTAACGAGCCAGTTTATGATTTAATATCAATCTCGGAGCGGCAGTGCTTATTATTGCCCATTAGTAAAGTTTTAATAACGCAATACGGTGCTTGGTGAGAGGGTGGTGGGTGTAGGGGATAGTTGGGTGGGGAAAGAGACGAGGAGACTTGCGTCGCGATTTATCACTTTCATCGCTTTATTAACGGGGTTTCAGTTATATTCAACTTGTTGATCGCTTATGAAAGGAAGCAACGTTTCTGATATTGAAGTTTCGCGAATCTACGATTAGGGTATTATTTTTAGTGAGGTAGGACTTCGCTGATTAATTGTTGCTTGCTGGAGATAGTAAATTGCTGCACAGTTTCCTCCGCATTAACAGGAAGAAGAGTTATTTCAAGGAGAAATAGAAGGATATTTGTATGGTATTCAAGCTTGACCAGAATTCTCAAAGATTTTCTATTGTTAATTTATAGTTTTCTTTTAAACGTTATAATTTTACGTTATAATTAGGTATTTATATTTATATATCTAAGAGATTTAAATTCGAAAAGTTTTGTTGACTTTTAATTGAATTTTCAATACTAACATTACTTAACCAAACCGTTATCTCAGGACAATGTAAATTGTCGAACTACATAAGGCAAACAGTTAACTTATGACAGATGTATATTCGTCAACAAACACATTTAAATGATGATTTATACTAAACAAACCACGAACACAATCTTATTGCTGCCGATGTTCTTATAATTGATGTTCTTATTGTGTCTGGATTATTGTAAAGATATTTTGAAAGTTATAGTAAGTTTATTTGATGAAAAAATGGAAACCATACGGGACCGATCGGTCATATGTGCATTAGTTACGATCTCTAGATATCATAATATTAGTAAATCGATCTTTAACGAGGAATGTAGGAACGCGAGAAGCAATAGCTAGCTAGGCGTGGCTCATAACGGCTCGTTTAATTCGCGAAAAATTCCAAATACCTACTTTCGTATTATATTGAAGATCGAGGCGTTGGCAGCGGACCCGTCGTATGTGGCGAGAAGCATGAGTCCCCAGAGATTCGATTTCACGACATCGCTGAGTCACGAGATCGCGTTTGCCGACACGAAAAGGGGAGCCGCATCCCTTTGGGAGCATCCTACATATCTCTGATACCTGAAGTAAGAAGAAAGTCTTCCGAAAGAGGAGCCCTGCCGATGAATCGAAGTTAGAAAAGCTTTGTCCATGAAAATCCTGTATTCAAAATTATTTATATTTCAGTTAAATAAATCATATCAAAATTAGCAACAATTTTCTATTCGTTAATTCGCGTTGATAACAGTTTAATAATAACAAACTGCTATTACCAATTGAAAGATTAATTTTTGATTCAAAGCGAAATTACACACTACGTTAAATAAAACAAAGAAATCTAGAAAGTCTTGATGGCGTGAGTTGACTCGATGAATAGTCTTGTCCATTGATGGTATACATAAAAAAAAGTAAGTGAGAGGAACCGTTGAGTATGTGAAAAACAAAAAATGCAATCAACAGAATGACAGAAGCGACGACATGAAGGTACATGGCATCGTTCATCGAACGAACGAACGAACGAACGAACGACCATCAACGAACAGCAAAACCAGCAGCAACTCGTAAAGTCCGTCGCGAGATAAGCATGGCATGGCACGAGTGAAAGTGTCAGCTGCGTCTTCGTGTTAAAGAAAGATAGAAAGAGAACGAGGA